ATATATAGTTCAGTTTGGTGTAGCTGAATCTATAGATTTATGAACAACACAGATGATACACAGAATCGACCGAAAGGCATAACACACCTACTCACTAGACTGCTTTTAGAGCCTCTTTGTGTTTATACTATTCTAACTCAAACGTGTAGATTTCAAATAAAGAATGGGTCGTCAGGAAGCTTAGTTGTGGTGACGCTGTTGTCATGCGAATAGCTTAACTTCCGCTTTTTACTTCCATACATTGTTCATACAATGCGCTCTTTTGTGAAGATTATCTTGATGAACAAAACATGCTATAATCATACACTTTTGTTGGTTACAGAGGGTGTTTTCTGCAATAATTCAAAAGCCAGTGGATAATAGATTTAGTTGTTGAATCTTTTGAACTATTCCTTTAAGAAATAAATTCTTTACCACATGCTTTCCCATTCAAAGGCAAGAAAAACACAATCCTTGGATGCTTTAAAGAGGCAATAATATCATAAATTTATTAGCCATGCATCAAGCAGTGAAGGCCGTTACACACACTTTGGTTTTGTGTGCTTCTGAGAGACGGCACCGTGAATCATGCATCATCTGACTTGCATACGTGTTTAGTGTGTATGTGCTGTGTGTGTGTAATGAATGGGCATAGTTTTGATGGCACGGCTGTTAATCATGATGAACAGATCAATACTGCATATCTTTATCCCACACACAGTTGCTTTCTTCTATTCCTGTAGAAGAGGGGTGATATGAATGGAATGGCTAGATGGAGGGGTGGTGAGAGGGCCGTGCTCAGATCGATATTCCAGCTGTTCACGGACTCTTGTGTTTTTAGAGTTCACATTCACTGAGTGCCCTATATCTGTACATCACAGGCCTGAAATGATCGGAAAAGCACATGCGGTCATGCATTTCATGTGCTACATCTGTCAGTGTTTGAACTGGTCTTAGAGATCTGCATGTGATATACAGGATAAATCAGCCAATTTGTTCCAATTATATAGAGAACATGAATCTTTAATGATCTTCCTCCCTCTTGCCAACTGATTACAATTAGTTCTTTAGGGTTTTACTTTCTCAAGTTTTAGCCATCCCACAATTCGCCAAATCAAATTTGTCTGCTCCAGAGTTTTAGCATAATTAACAATTAATTGTGGAATTTAATGAGAAATCACGTCTCTACTTTCTCTTGGTCTTCAGGCTCATTTTTTCTGTTTCTGTCTCATTTTCTTCTGTTTTTCTGGCTCTCACTGTCTTTTTCTGTTGGCTGCTGTCTCTGATTCTGTTATTTGCATTCTTGTTCTGTTTTCTATCATCCTTTCTCTGCTCACTAAAGTGTCTGAGGAGAGTGAACCTGTGGAAGAGCCACTCAAGTACAGTAAGTGTGTGGATGTATGGAGAGTGGGTTTTTCCTGCATGTGGCCCCTTGCCCATGCTGACTCCATCCATTGGGTATTTAAGAAAAAAAAAACAACAACCAGAGACAATACTCAGTACTCAATAGGGCTTTGAAACCTAGTGAGCTGCCTTGCTGTCTACTTCCCTACGTAGAAAAATGCCTTCTAAGATGGCATCCTAACTAAAATTGAATCAATGTTACCAATTGAAAATGCTGTTCAAATGTTTAGGGTCGGTATGTTTTTTTTTTTTTTTTAACAAATTACAACTATTGTTGAGTAAGAAAATATTAAATTAAATAAAAGTGGCAGATGGAGCCACTTTTGGAGGGAGATATTTAAAGTTAAAATTTTGCTAAGAAAAGAACAAATAAATGCTGATAATAAATAAATAAATAAAAATCACAGTTTCCATAAAAGCAGAACTGTTTTCAACATTGATAATAATGTGAAATGTTTCTTGAGTATCAATTCAGCATATTAGAATGATTTCTGACGGATCATGTGGCACTGAAAACTGCAGTAGTGGCTGCTGAAAATTCAGCTTTTCCATCACAGGAATAAATTGCATTTTAAAATATATCAAATTGGAAAATGGTAATATTTCACAGTATTTATTTTAAAAAAAATAAAAAATACTTTTTGTATTTTTGAGCAAGCAACTATTCTTGGTGAGCATAAGACACTCCCCCAACCCTTGCTCAAAAAAATAAATTAAATATTATATTCTTTCAAAATTCAAACTTTCTGAACATTCTGGAATTGCCTTTTCTGCTAGTATGTACTGTTGCCTTAGATTGACCAAAAGGTGTCAGTTTTGGCCTGTCGCCGGTGTGCCTATAGTGCTTTGTAATGCGGTCTAGGTAGGCAGCTCACTAGGTTGGAACATAGCTAGTGGCTGAATAACCTGTGGAGCTTGAATGGTGTTGTCTAGTCACTTTGACTTTCTTTTGTAGTCACTGTCATCTATGTGTGAATGTAAAATGCTCATGCTGTTGTGGTTTAGCTATGCATCTGGGTTAGCTGTTTGTGTGAATAGTAGGGCTGTGTATCACCAGCAAAGTCACAATACGATACGTATCACGATACAGAGGCCACAATACGATACGTATCACGATACAGAGGCCACAATACGATACGTATCACGATACAGAGGCCACAATACGATACGTATCACGATACAGAGGCCACAATACGATACGTATCACGATACA